AGAAGAGTACAATGCGTTTATAATGTACTGAACAAAGAGAGGACAGTAAACACGTTGCCAAACGTATGAAATAAATCGAGAAACTGTGCACATCGCTAAGAGACGTGGAAGGGGATATAGCAGATTTGTCGCAGTTGACCGGTCGACCCAATCAATACCTCTGTCAGTACTTAAAGTTCTTGGAAAGGTGTACGTCATGCGTTCAGCTTCACGATTTAATTATGTCTCGTGATACTTAATTTGTTTATTTATTAACGAGTCGTTGTAATTTTCCCTATAGCTTGAATTTTTTAAGTGCAAGCTAGAAACACTTGCATTTTTGGTAAAAATAAGTGGAATTGACTGGGTGTTCGATAGTGGTCGCGCTATTAGAACTCTGAATTCAAAAATCGATATCTCGAAATCTATTAGAAATAATAGATTGTAGTTTTTTCAAGAACTTTGTTAATATTTCTGCTGTATTTTTTTTGTAGACAGTATGTGAAAATCTCTATCAGTAAAAAAATTACACGATTGCCGAAAATTGCTATGCTCTAAAAGTAAATGGATGGATTGTTTACAATTTTTGAATGGAAAAAACAACCTTATCGAATTTTTCTTATGTAAACATATTGTAAAATATCCGATTTTGAAAATAAAAAAAGTTTCAATATCTAAAGTGGTTTTTGAGTTATGGTCTGTTATGTGTTAAAAAGTTGTGATGTAAATGCCGACCCAAAAGTAACAGTTGCCAGCACGGTATAGTCTTGTATTATACCGTATCGAAATAAAAAAACGGCGTCTAGTTGGCTGGAAAATGACGATCAATGACATTTCCCATATAAATTTACATATAAAATGACAGCGATCTTTGTTTCATAGCCATCGCTGACATCGTTTTTTTTTCGATCATACGGTATTATTGTGTTGTAATTTTTGAAAATATATACCGGGTGCGTCTCAAAAGTGACTCACCCCTATAACTTTTTTATTTTTTCAGCTAAAAGGACGAGATTTGGTATGTTAGTTATATGACATAAATTAGAATTGATTGACGTATTCAATTGTTTTTGGTGACTTCCTGTTTCTCCGGAAATGACTAGAACTTTTGATTTTTAAATGACACCTTGGGTATTTTCTTACTTTATTCGATCGAAAATGACATTTTTACTCTACTGTCTGTATCATGACAATTTAACTCAGAATACCAAATGTGTGGTACCAAATTATTCTTTAAAAAAATGCTTTTAAAATTGAGATATGATTAAAAATTCGATTTAGGCACCTTTTAACCATCCAGGACAAGACACGAAAAACATTAAACGATCAAATCTATTTTCCAAGGCTCCGCGATTAAAAATTAGCGATTTTAACACAGCCATGGCACTATAGATTGAAATTTAAAATACGATTTTTTAAGCAAGTTGACGTATGATATGTCATTCTATTCAGTGTCATTTTCTATCGAATAAAGCAAAAATATACCGAGGGTGCCATTTAAAAATCAAAAAGTTGTAGTGATTTCCGGTCAAACAGGAAGTAACCAAAAACAATTGAATACGTCAATCGATTCTAATTTATGTCATATATTAACACACCCGATCTCGTTTTTTTATTTGAAAAAATAAAAAAGTTATTGGGGTGAGCCACTTTTGAGACGCACCCGGTATTTACTAAAATTTGTGAAAAAAATATAACCTAATAAAAGTCTGACAACTGAAATTTGCAAGAAGTATATAAAATTATATGAACTTTAAAGACACGTATACCTTTTAACATCACACTTGCCCAATCTTCATCAAGAGTGAATGCTGTGAATGCTTTGCTGTAGTATACAAGCTCAGTAGTTTTAGGATTTGATTGGTTTTTTTAACATATAAATATTAAAAAAATAACAAAGTCAACAATAACATAAGAAAAACAGTCAAAATACAAAAATATTTATTAAAAATTAGATAAGCAACATTAGATACAACAAAACTTACACGTTTAATATTAGATTTTTTTGTATTTCAGCCAAACGCCTCCCTGGACTTCGTTCATAAAATTGAATGCACAGTATGAAATTGGCTGCTGCAACTTCGGGCTGGTTGTTATCTCGAAGTTTTTGATCAGATAAACTAGTCCAAGTTTAATTTGCAGAATTCCAAGTCTCTGACCTATAAGAAAATATTCATATTAATGACAATTTTATATACAAAGCAATATAAGCATGGATAACTTGGGCCCGCATAGACTATACAATAATCGACAATGGGCCCAACTACAAAGAGATATCTACATACACACAACCAAACTTATATGGAATGACTCTTTATTTCTGACTAAATTTCTTGCAAGGATAAAAATTGGTATACAACTTTAAGATAAGGCTTTTTGTTATAAATAAACATGATAATAAAGAATAAACGACTGCTGCGATTTATTTTCTTTTGAATTTTGTGTTCACTAGTAAAATCACGATTGTCCGGTAATTTTCATTCTATCCAAAATAATAAAAAAATGCCTTATGTTGGATTAACAAATGTATAGAGGGGAAGAATTATTGCCCTCAGCCAACAAGGAATGCTCCAGTAAAACGTAGCAGAGATAGTAGGGGTTACCTAGGGTATCGAAAACATATGCAAGATACTTGGAATTAGAAACACACAAGGATAGGCACAGACAGAGTCGTCAAAGAGGCACAACTGAACAGCAAAACCGTGTTGTGTGCCAAATTGCTAGAATAAAACCTGGCAAATCCCAATGTTTCTCATCCAGAGCTACAAAGACAACTTGTGGCAGCTACTAGTGTGAACGTTTCAGTTGAAACCATAAAAAAAGGCTTTGTTCTCAAGGATTTTACAGTAGGAGAGAGTTACGAATCCCACAGTTATCTCGGCAAAATAAAATTGACCGGCTAAATTGATGCCTTCAACATCAAAACTGGACAAATGAGAATTGGCAAAATGTTCTTTTTTCGGGTGAGACCAGAATTGGCCTAAGATCAGATAACCATCAAATTCGGGTTCTCAGAGCTCCAGGAAGATGAGCGAGACTTCAGGCTGCCTAATCTGTATCAAGATATAAACGAAGGAACTGTAATGTTCTGGAAAGGTTTGTAATGGTCTGTAATGTTCTGTAATGTTCTGAAAAAAAAACTTTAACGGGTCGGAGATATGTTGATTTGGTGCTAGAACCAATCGTTAGTCTTTAGAGAGCTGCAATTGGAGATAATTTTAACTTCTTGTACGATAGTGCACCTCCCCATACCAGCAGAGTGACTAGAGAATGTCTTGGAATGATAGGTGTTATAGTTTTGGACTGGCTTGCATGTTTACCAGATCTAAACTCTATCGAACACTTGTGGACTAGCTCAACGAGCTCGTCGAAACAATCCAGGAAATTTTACACAGCTAATTGATGCAGCATTAGCAGAATGGGAAAACATACCCCAAGACAACGTTGATAATTTAATAAGAAGCGTACCAGCGCAGATAGAAGCTTGCATAAGGGCTAGAGGTCGCAACAAGCAATATATTATCAATTTTCTTTTTGTTTTTGCTTTTTGACCATTAAAAATTTAAATCTTAATTTCGTTTCTGAAACCAAAACAATACCATTTTGTTTATTTTGGGAACTGATTAATTTTTTTATTGCTATATGGATTATTTTTTATTAAAAGTCATTGGTAAGGACTGAGTTTTATTCATAAACACAAAAATAATAGATGATTCCATATCAGTTTGGTTGTGTGTATATGAGGGAGACTACACAAAACTTTGAAATGGTTGAATAAGCGGAAAAGGATGATGATGATGATGAATATACCTATGCAAATTCTTGGTCCATTTCCAAATGGAAAGAACAATTTATTAAGTGCTCCATCTTTCTCCATCATTCTTTCTGGATAGTACTTTTCTGGATCCTTGAAGTATTTTGGATCCTGGCACAACATTCCGTAAGGTATTATGATATGGTCTCCTTTTTTGAACTTCATCGTCATGTTTTTCAAATCCGGATCTTCACAGGTGTATTCGTAAGGCTCAGTGCAAAGTTTCATCAACATTTCTATCATAGGATATTTACGAAAAGATTCTAAAAAATATATATTATTTGTATTATTACAGGTTATCTCAAAATATCGATTGAAATAAAATTTACTCAATTTTGAACACCACTCCAAGTAGCATTTGGACGTTATCTAACGTCGGGTATACGTCGCGTCCAATAAACCCGACGTCGGGTACCAACGTCGGTTCTACCGCCTGACGACCCTTATTTGCACCTAAATGGAGAATACAGATTCGGGTCGCCTCGACGTCGGTATCTGACCTAATAGGGAATGTAATTCTACCAATTACCAACGTCATATTACGTTGGATTTTAGTCACTTAAAATTCGTCGCTAAGCACTTACGTTACGTTTGGTTTCATATTCGCTACCAAGAATACATAAAAACCTAACCAAACTACCTAATTACAAATGGATTCATAATCACTCCTCGAATATAACGATACATGCCTACCTAATTTCATATTATAATAATTCTGAATCATGAATCCAGACATCAGTTTTGTCAACGGAAGTCACTTTTTTTGATATATCTGATTAAAAATACTCCGGAAACAACGAGCGCCTTCAAAAGAGGTAGATTTATGAAATAAAAATATCTATAAAAAAGTAACTCGCAAAATATTTTTTTTTATTTTCTAGCTGGTTTAATCATAAAACTGTACTGTGGTTCCCCCCAAACTCAACCTTATCAATATTATTTTACTAGAAATCGGAATGTGAATATAAATTTTAAAAACAAAAAACTGTGTCCGACTTAATATGAACTACCAATATACCAATTCCGACCGGGTCTCCAACATTAGTCGTCTCACACGACCGAAGTCATCAAACCGGACGACCGGCAATCGTATTATGAATTATGACGTATATAATTCCAACGTACGCCACGTAACCTCACTTTGCGTATCAGTGATTTGTGGATCTGTGCAACTATATTTTAGTTTTTGTTTTCTCCTTCAAAAAATGGGTAGCCACTTTTTTAAGATAGTATATATCCAAAATTTAAAAGAATTGGAACCAGTACCTCACATGTGGGAGGAGGATGGGGTCTGCTGGTTTCCTAAGCTAAAAATAAAATTAAGATGCACCAGTGTAATGCAGCATCTCTTCCGGATAAAAAGCATTCGTGGGTGGAGGGAAGACATCACTACTACTATTATTATTTTGCAAAAGCCTCGACCTCTTTCTGTAAAATGTAGATGAATGTATAAATGCATTTTTAGTGCTTTTTTAGGCATAATAAAAAAATTAAGTTTGTTTACAAAAACTTTTTATTAGGTTATGTTCATGATGTTCATTAGGCCGCAAATGCTACTTAATTGTATTTACGGACGTAAATAGAGATACGTAAATTAGGTTATAAATAGGAACATAAAATACAACAAAATATAATTGGACGTTACTTTAGGGATTATCAGTGAAACGTATCCTATTCGGACAAAGGGTAGACGTCGGGCTAGTTCAAGTATATGTACGTCGTGCAAGCCAACGTGGGAACGACGTTGGGAAATTAATCAAAATGGTACGTTGTTATTTTGTACGTCGACAGATCGTTGGATTTACCGACTCGGATCCAACGACGTCGCTTTTAATAGGAAAGCGACGTCACCCTGTCGTATCACCAGCACCCGACCTAAATTTGCACAAAGTCTGACGTCGCTTCAGGTCAGATTTAGTTCGAAGTCAGATAGATGCTACTTGGGACGTGGGTAACAATTTTGTTGTTACCTCGTTTATTATAAAACTTCTAATTTTATACAGGGTTGTCCGAACTGTATTCCGGAAACTTGGGCAGCAAATTCTGCAGATAAATGTAATGTCCTAAAATGCTTAGTTTCGGAGATACAGGGTGTAGAAGTTTCATTTTTATTTCGATTTTTTTATGTCTGGGAGTTTTTTGACATGAGAAATTTGATTTTGATGTCAATAGGACTCCCATTTGTAGGGAGCGCCACCCACATGTGTTTTAACTGTTTTGAAGTACCTGCATAAAAGTAGTGAGTGAAAGAATATATATTTCCGAGACCTTTTACGTAAAAAATGTCTCTTGGTAAAAATCGCTACGAACAACCATTCTCGAGACATAATAATTGAAAAATTGTTTTTGCTTATTTCGTAATATGTTGTAGTCCTGAAAATGCACTTTACAAAACCGTTTCGTTTCTGAGATTTACACTTTTTGTTCCAGAGAAATTCGTTGTTAAATATTGCCGAAAACAGAAAAAAATATTTCTTTTGTATATTTTCTCAAATAACCCAAGATCTGACAGATATCGAAAAACAAATTAACAAAAAACAAACAAGTTGAGTAGATAGTTATTTGACTGAAATAATAAATTCGGGAAATCTTGATTTTTTTTAATTACTCATAAATTTTTCTGGCGACGAAATGATGATAAAACAGTTTCTGATGAACTTTTGGCACAAAACATTTCAAATTTATGATTTGAGTCTAAAACTATTTACTCAACATGCATGATACAAAGAATACAAGGTATGATATTGCGCAGGTTGGTCGCTATGTCACAGGTGATAAACGGCACTATTGGTCGGCAAGCTCTGCACGCCAATTTCAAATTGTCAAACAGATTGTGTCATCTGTGAAATTTGATTGTGTCAAAATATGAAAATAATTTTTCAAATGTCAAGCTCGATTTCAAAACATAACTTTTGGGATTATGTCCTAATTCTTTCCTAGTTTAGGTCTTTTTTTATTAGTGGCAAATATGGATATATTTTTTGTATGACCTATAATTTTTTTTTTGTGACTTATGACTCCAAGTGGTAACCAACTCAAGGCGGAACTCATGAACTTCATGAAAAGGAAGATTCCATCCGCAACTTGGAATGGAAATCTTGCAACGGTCTAAGACACTCGAAGAAGTTTCTGAGAGCTTATGATCAAGAAAAACCACAGATCTTCCTGGGTTTAAGTAAGAACAATCTTCGGATTGTCACGGGGTTTTTAACAGGACACTGTCTCCTCAATGAACACCTCAGTAGATTGAAACTAAGAAGAAACGGCGAATGCAGATTCTATGGGGAAGATGGGGAAACACCAGTACACCTCATCACTGAGTGCGCCGAGACGACAACCATTCGTGCCATGAATTTTGGTACGACTGATATTGGAGATGGAGAACCACCCTCTATAAAACCGTCCCAGATACTGGCTTTTGTCAAAGCCCTGGGACTGTATGATGAGTTATGACTCAAGAAAGGGGGACACAATGGATCTGTAAGGTCGCAGTGATTAACCCCCCTCCCACTCATTCTAAATTCTAAAAAAATTCTAAAAATGACCTATGACGTCACAGGTGGTATGCGCAAACTTAACGAAATTGGAGCCGCTATCGATCATACCTTGTTTTCTTTGTACCATGGTCAACATGTTTAATTATGTCAATGATGACAGGTATTGATAATTTCAACTCCAAATATCTGAAGAACCATTACTCGTAGCGATTTTTCTCAAGAGACCTTTAATACGTAAAAAATGTCGTAAATGTATAGTTTTTTACTCAGTAGTTTTATACAGGTACGGACAAAAAGTTATTACTCTTCAAACCAGTTAAAAAATATGTAGGTGGCGCCCTCTACTAGTAGGAGTCATATTGTCATCAAAATCAAATTTCTCATGTCAAAAAACTTCCAGACACCAATTTTCATCCAAATATTGACGTTACTTCAGAAATTATTTGAAAAAAAAACTCGAAATAAAAATGAAACATTTCATATTAGGACATACATTTATACGAACTTTTTTACTTATTTTTATCTGCAGAATATGATGCCGAAGTTTCCGGAATACAGTTCGGACCACCCGGTATATTTTAAACTAAATAATAAATCTATTTAAACATAAAATACCATACAATTACCATAAAAACACGCGTCAAGCCACACCATCTCTGGTAAAGCCTCGTAGGGAATTTCTCCCTTATTTTTCTCTTCGGTTTCCTTAATTTCCTCCCTGATTTTTTGCTGGTACTCCGGGTTTTGGGCCAGGCACAACAGATTGAAAGTGAGGATCAGTGAGGAGGTGAAGTACCCGTCCAGGAAGAATGTACTGGCGTGAGCTGTGACATCCGTATCAGTAAACTTGTGCTCTTTGGCTAAGTCTATCAGGAATTGAAGGTAATCTTTGTAGACGTCATTGTGAGTTTCACGGTACTTTTTGACGTCCGATATGATGGCTATTATCTTGTCTTCGACGTTCTGGCTTATAATTCTGCAAGTATAAATATTAATCGTACAGGGTGTCCCATTTTACAGGTTACAAAGATGCGGTTTTCACATTATCCGGTTTTTTTAATATAAAATTCAATTGAAGTAATTTAAAAGTACTCCATCAAAACAAAAAGAAATGCAACGAAGTTACAATTAAGGAATAAATAATAAAATCAAATTCAAATATAAATTTCACTGGTTTGAAATGGCGCGTAGAAAATTGTGACGTCGCCTATCAGCATTTGACTGAATAGTTGACAGAGGGCGCGAGCCTCTGAAGAATAATATTATGGCGTGTATAGTTCTCTGCTACCGCATTTACACTATACCTGGTTGTTCACCACATACGACACATAGTATTGTAGCTAAACGGTGAGATTTTTACAAATTGTAAGTCTTGGGTTCGATGAAGGACTATTAGAGGTACAATTTAAAAATAATTTTACAAGATACAGAGTGTCCCAAATAAGTAAAAAATATTAAAGTTGTATTTTTTTAAATGGATCACCCTGTATATTATTGCATTTTTAGTTTCTACGATTAAAATAAAGGTAAATTTGATTAAGGTTTATTATACTTAAACCTTACGGTTTTTGAAATATTTTCAATTTTGTGAAATTGAGGTAAAAATTTTAAGGCTTCATTCCTCCAAGGGTACCAAAGTTTTTAATACTAAATATTTACTGAAGTTTATTTATTGATCAGTTATTGTGTTGCAATAATAAAAATAATACTACCTTATACAGAGTGTCTAAAAATTTATTTTAAATAATTATTAGCTTCAAACGGCAATAACTTGTTTAATTTAAATGGAACACCCTATATATTTTACGAGAATCAGATGCACAATTTAATTGTCTATCAAATTATATTATACCATTTTTACCTATCTCTTTAAGTTTCCGTAGAAAATGGATTTTCTTGTAATTTAGAATTTATTTATCAATATACCCATGGAATATTGACATTTTAGATTATTTTAAAGATGTACCAAATTTTTAAAGAGTACAGATACTAATATTGTGGATATAATTCGTTTATTTCATTAAAAATAAAAAAAAAACTGTTTAAATATTTGTTAAAGAGGACCAATTAATATGATTCCAGTATTCAAACTACATTAACTGACTGCATTGATTAATAATAATTGTTCCAAATACTAAAAAACTGAATTTTGTATGGGTATTAGACAGTGTGATAAAAAGTAACATCTTAAAAATGATATTTCATTTTTTAATAAATGCTTATTTATAACAACAGAGACTTTAATTTTGATAACTTATTATTATAATGATTTCTGACTCAAATCCACATTTATTTAGAATAATTTATTAACGAATACAATTAAGTATGTAATTAATTAGTATATGGGCGGAAATAATGATGATAAATTTATTAATGGTATACCCTTTTATAAAGATTTAAATAGTTTTCTTTTTGCATACAACATTATTGTTTTTAGCAAAACCATAATATTACTAGAATGTCAATATTCCATGGGTGTCAATAATAAAATGTTAATATTCCATGGGTATATTGATGAATGAGGTCTAAATTATAAGAAAATGCATTTCCTACGAAAACTTGAAGGGATAGGTAAAAATGGTGTAATACAATTTGATAGACAATTAAATTGTGCATCTGATTCTCCTAAAATATACAGGGCGTTCCATTTAAATTAAACAAGTTATTGGCGTTTAAAGCTATAAATTATATAAAACAAATGTTTAGACACTCTGTATAAGGTAGTATAATTTTTATTATTGCAACACAATAACTGATCAATAAATAAACTTCAGTAAATATTTAGTATTAAAAACTTTGATACCCTTGGAGAAATGAAGCCTTAAAATTTTACTGCAATTTAACAAAATTGAAAATATTTCAAAAACGGTAAGGTTTAAGTGTGATAAACCTTAATCAAATTTATCTTTATTTTAATCGTAGAAACTAAAAATGTAATAATATACAGGGTGTTCCATTTAAAAAAATACAACTTTGATATTTTTTACTTATTTGGGACACTCTGTATCTTGTAAATTATTTTTAAATTGTACCTCTAATAGTCCTTCATCGAACCCAAAACTTGAAATTTGTAAAAATATAATCGTTTAGCTACAATACTCCGTGTCGTATGTGGTGAACAACCCTGTATATTTTAAAATTACGTTAGATTTTTCTATTTTTATTAAGATCGTTAAAAAATACGCTTTTATGTGGGATTATTCTTTATCACCCCAATATTAAATTTGCTTTTATATTTTTTATATTTTTTACTACTAGAAATTAAAACTTAAATTTTTATAATTAACAGGTAACTGCTATTTTTATCGGAGCACTAAACACATCCAAAGTTGTTCGGATGTTCGAAGGTTCGAGGTTAGACTTGTATTTTGTGGATTTTGCCGTTTGGCGTTAAATACTTCGAGTTTTCAATTTTATTTTATTGTACCCTCTTTATTATTTTTGGAATGAAGGGTGTTAAAGTTTGTTTTGTGAAGGGCTACCTAAATAACTCTGAAAATTCTCCAGAAAAAGTTTTTATAACCGTTCCTTTGGATAAAAGCCGTCGAAGAGCCTGGTTTGAAGCGGCAAGACAACAATGTCAGCAAAAGTACGAGATTTTGTTGTGAAGATCATTTTAACGTATGTTCCATAAGTTTTATTTTACAATTAATTTTATATCTACTTTAAAATACATTTAGAAAAATGGTTTTTATTTACCTTTGTACCTGGTGGCAAACCGTGACACTTTTGATAGGTGACGTCAGAAATTGCAAAAGTGTAAATTTGAAATTCTTAATGTTGATTAATTTTTTTAACAAACGGGATGAAATTGAAGTAAAACAAAAAAATACGGGTGTCATAAAATTGTATGAAGATTAATTATTTGCAATAAAAAAATTATGGTTAAACTCCGGATTGTTCTACTTTTTATGAAACTAAAAATGCTACACGCAGATTTGTCCCAGCCCTTTTAGTTCCTGAAATACAGGGCAAATTTGAAAATCGAAAAGGTTTTTTTTAACAGAACACCCTGTATATTATTGCATTTTTGATTTCTTTTAATATTAATAAATAAATAGAAAATATATATTTCTCAACCTTCCTAGAAAAAATTATTACAATAGTACAAGAACTGTCCCGAAATCAAAACTATATTAGGTATTTTCACTAAATAGTCTATCCTTACTTTGCTATAAATATCGTAACTTTAAATCATACAGGTTGTTCAAAATTCTATGCCAAACTTTCTAAAATATAAAATAATTTCTCTTTCTTCTTTTTTAAATGGGGCACCCTGTATATTATTCTTTAATTAGATGGAGAGTTAAAAAACTAACATTTTTTTTATTTAAAGTATTTAAAATTTTTAAGGGTTTCGTAGATACACGCAATATTATTTCATATGGCTCTGTCAACGGTAAAATACGAGAAAAATCATTGAGTGGCTTTCATAAAAATTTACAGTGGAAAATGCCAAATGAAACATAAAAGCGCGAATATCTGCGAAACCGTTAAAATTTTTGAAATACTCTAAATACAAAAAATATTCACTGTTTAATTCTCCATTTATTTAAAAAAAAATAGCTAGCTTTTTCCCGCGACTACGTTCGCGTTACACCTAGAATCGTTCACGCATTGATTTAAATTATTGTTTACCTCTTTATAGATAGAGCTAGTGAGCCTAACAAATACACTATTTAAACTATGATTTTAAGAGTTTTAGAGCTACTAAATACTTATATAAAGATACTGAATACTTATTTCGTATTTCATATAACGAAATATTTCTAAATAAACCCTTGTATAAAATTTATACTTTTAGTATATTAATGCATTTTCTTACATCAAATTTTCATTCCCTATTCTACTCTCTAAGGGTATAAATTTCATAAAGTCGCTTTATCCAAATAATTAACTCATGTCTTTTAAACGATCTTTTGTGCCAATGTTTATGTGTATAATCCAGAGGTCACCAAGTTTTATATAAATTTTTACTAACTTTACCCATTTGGTTGATAAATTTCAAAAACCTCTTCTAATACTTTTTGTAGGATTTCATTCTTCTAGACCAGATAGTACGGAATTTTCATACAACAAATTGTTCCCACACAATTTTACTCTCTAAGAGAAGAATTTCCTAAGATCGCTTCAGATATCCTTCAGAGGATCTTCCATTTAAAAAAAGGAAGAAAAATTATTTAATATTTTAGAAAGTTTGACTTAGCATTTTGAACAACCTGTATGATTTACGATTACCATATTTACAGCAAAGTAATGACAGACCATCTAAAGTAAATACCTAATATAGTTTTGATTACAGGATAGTTTTCTTGTATTTTTAATATTTCTTTTAAGAAAGGCTGAAAAAAATATATTTTTTAATTATTTATTTATATCTCTGAAACTAATCGAAATATATTTCATATCTTAATATTAAAATGATCTGAAAGGAAGTCAAAAATGCAAGACTATACAGGGCGTTCTATTTAAAAAAAAATGATCCCGATCCACTCACTTTTTTTTAGCCAACCTATAAAAGTTAAAATATTTTCCTGAAATATATACTTGTACGTACTTTAGGGTTGCACTTAAAAACAAAATTCCCGAGTTTTTTACTGTAGGAGCTACAGATGCCCGACATACTTTTGACGGACCCTGTATATTATATTCTAAGATTTTTCCATAAATTTAGCATCAATTATGTTTACATAACAAGCTACAATATACATACATACCATAATCAAAAATATAAACACTAACCAAGTAGTTTGCCGTAATTTAAAATAAAATTAATCGTTCTGAGAAAATGTGGATTCATGACTATAATTAGTAATCAAAATAATTACTTTAATTACCTCGAATTTAGTTATATTCAGAACGTTAAGATTATTTCTATTTTTTTTTAAATTCAACTTTATGAACTTTGATACTTCAACAAGTTTTCGAGTTATTTATTATTACATTAAATGAAAAAAAAAATGAATACAATATATTATATTGTATTCATTTTTATACAGGGTGACTCTCAAATAAGTTCAAATATTTTTCGGAGCAGTAGGTAATTCCTATTTCGATCGCATGAATATGTCGATGAGATTTTTTTCGCGTAAAATAGTTGAACATTTTGTATTTTTTCTATTTTTCTAGGAAATTCCCAATTCTTTACTTGATAATAATGATAATATGGCAAAATAGGCAGTAGATTAAATTTATAGAGGCATTTTTCTGTTGTTTAGGTTAGGGTCTGTTGTTTAGGATTATAAAAAAGGTCGATATATAAATTGTCGAAATATGCTAGTAGTTAAAATATTTGCACTTATTTCAGAGACACCCTGTATAAAAAAATATACTTACTTGATAGAAAACATGTTTAGTAACGATGGAAACACCTGCCCAAGTTGCAGGATGATAGCGTGGGATGATCCGGGTGTTAAAAAAGAGTCTGCCAGCTCCATGAAATCTGACAGTTTGTCATAACTGTCAAAGGCTTTGCCGTCGATGCCGAAGGCGGTTTTGGCAACGTTGTCCAAAGTAAAGCGCTTGGTTAGGAGTCTGGTTTCTATGCCATCTGTGGTAGCTGTGGGGTGGTTTTCGATGTATTCGACGAATCTTTTGGCTACGTTACTTATTAGTGGAAAAATGTGTTTCAACTGAAAAAGAAAATTATTGATTTATTAGAATAACTTAATAACAAAAATAGTAAAATATAAAAAAAGTAATAATAAATGCAGGAAGTTGCTTAAGCTTGAAAGTAATTTTTTACATTTCTTTGGTATGTGGTATTTTGTTTAAAATACATCTTTGCTTGTTTTGTATTAACACATACTGTTTTTTTTAATAAAATAACTCGTTTACATTTTTCCAGTTTTATACAGTTTTCTTTTCACAATAGTTTGAGGTAATCACTTCAAATTTTAAATATATTAATTTTCTGTTATGCGTTTCAATAGCACCAACTTATTTCTTTGTAAAATCAAATAAACTACTTTGACTTTGGAAAGACTATACCTCACAAAAAGATAGATATATTAGAGTACCTATATTTCTGAGGTTCAGATCCAAACAATATTTACGAAAATTCTTGATCAAAATGTCACTTTACTTACCCTGCCGCTTGTCAAACCAGGTGTCAGCATTTGTCTGGTGTCCTTCCATTCTTTCCCGCGCAAAACGAAAGGGTTATGTCCGAAAAGGACATCGACCTCTTTGTTAACCTGGATCTCATTATTCTGGAAGAACTTGAAGTCCTTAACAAGGATCCTGTGGGATAGTTCCGGGTCTCTTACTAGCAAACAGGGAGTGTTGGCTTTGAAAATGCCCACGAAAGGATAATCTTCGTATTTTCTAGAAAATATACAGGAAAGTTTTTGATAAATAAAATTTTCTTGTTAAACTTTCTTATTTTGTTTTGTTGTTTTATCTCTCTCATTATTTTTTGTTTGTCTATTTATATCGTATATATTCTGTGATCAAAACTATGAAAACAAACAGAAAAATATAAAAACAACATAAAGATAATTAAAATAACTGACGAATGAAAAACTAAATTCAATATTATTTTTTCCATAGCAACTGTTAAAATTGCCTTATATCTTTGAATAAGAAGACTAAGGAAGGAGCATAATGCTATCCATGTATTCATGCATGGTGGGCGGAAAAAGCACTCTAGGGTGGGGATCCTTGACAGTTCTGTTTAACGATTCATTTGACACATTTGAATTTGATTTGAAATTTTATGGATTTGTCAGTCTTTACGAAGCTTATTTTATGTTATTTATTATTTATTCTACTACTGATAGTTGTATAAAGGTAGTAAATCTAGATGGAAATTGTGGCAGAACTTAAATTAACAGGGAATCAAATATCATTTTATCGTCTTGTATAAAAAATAACTATATTTTTTCCAATTTTTTTGGAGACGAAATGTTCAATGCCATTTTTATAATTCTTTTGGACAGAATTATTTCAGTTGTATCAAGTTTATAAACACAAAAGCTTTATTATCGATTTTGAAAGATCTCGTATGTCTAAAAATAGACAGGTATGGCATTTGAAATATTACTGTTGAACAATTTCCGCGTGCTAATGCAAATCAAAAAAAATTTGCATAATGACTCATGGATGGCTATATAATGAAAATAAAAACATAGACCTGCACTTATTATGGAATTTTGCTTAATTGTTTATTTCTAGTTTTAAAAAAGCCTCCTACACACAATTGTAACTATTAATCAGTTACAGAGCGTACCAAAATAATATTCATGTGGTCATATTCATTTAAAATACAAGTCTTGAATCTAGGTATTTATAAAAAGATTGCACAATAGAAAGTTGTTAATATGACACTTTTATATACAGAGATCTTTATCTTTCACCCTCAAAGTGTCATTCAATTTGCTACAGGCAGTTGGAAGAAAATTATAATAAATAATATAAATATATAATTGATAATATAAAGGCGGACTCTGAGGACTCGTGTACTTGGCAAACATTTTTATTGACATACAGGGCCCGGTGATAGTGCGGCGTAGCTCCCATAATAACTAATTTAGAAATTCTGCAAAGATGCCCGACGCACCCTATATACCCTGTGTACCATTAACAAATGTTTGTCAAGTACGCAAGTCGTCTAATCGCGGTATAAAAAATAATTCCTATTTTTTGCGTGGGGAATCTCCCTATGAGAGAAGCACGTGTTTTTTGAAACACCTTGTACTAGGCAAATCTTTATACAGGGTGAGTTTCCTTCGATGTTCTCTATGGGTATCTCGGAAACTACTGGAGATAGAGAACAATTTTTGTTTATTTTAATTTACGAAAAGTTTGGATGTGACAGCTTCTCATTTCTGAGAGCGAAGACGATTAAACCTGTTTCCATGGCTAACTAAGTGAAATTGTTTAAAAATTATAAGAATTGGCTATAAATTTCCGAAAAAGAAACATATTATAGCTTATATCACTGAAAAGCTTAAAAAATGGCGCTTTTTATGAAGTCATAGCCAACTATGGTTTCCATTTAAAAAAACATATGTTTGTATGATATGTCAAAAATAACAGGCTTTAGAAAAAAGCGGAAGACACAATCTTATTAAGGATGTAATTATCTACAACTTTTATCTGAAAACTTTTTGTCTAAAATAGCTTACAATAGAATTAGGAACAATTTTTAAAATAGCCGAAATTTGTTTTTTTTTTAAATATCTAGTAAGCCATGAACTTTTTCAAAAATTTGAAGGGCACATATTTATGACCCCAAAAAACTGCAATTCTTTCCCTATTTAACCGACTCTCTATCTCCAGTAGTTTCCGAGATACCCATAGAGAACATCGTAGGAAACTCACCCTGTATGTGTTATTTTACATCTTCTTAAAAAAATATATAAATTGTCATACTTAAGTGTTTTTGAAACTAGATTTTTACTTTTATTTTAGAAAATTTTCCGTATTTAGTCTCTAATTTGGAACACTTGTATATTGAAAATAATTATTAAAAATTATAGACTTGCATAGCTAAATAATTTGTTTAACCTTCTGCATTATTACGTATAATTACAGTATTTTTTTATAATTTTTATAAGTATTCGACTGTTTTGATTTCTAATTTAGTTTAAAATAATTTGAAAACATAAATATGTACTTTCAAAATACAACAACATAAAATATATCTCCAGATGAAATCAGCTGTACTAGATAATATCAAATGTATCTCTTAGATCATATATATTATCTCTAATATAAAACTATATACCAGAGTTACTGCAAGCTACCGATGACTAAAATACCAACTTTTGAAAGGTTATGTTTTAATTTTTGTTGTAAATTTCACAAATCATGCACTCTATAGGTTTCATTGACAGAATGTGTACCTTCCTTTGAAAAAAAATAGCTTCTCAATGTCCAAATTCAGATTTTTCACAAAAGAAATATACAAGATGAAACATAAAAATATAAACGACGCAGAAATTCCAACATCAAAAAGGTTCCTTTAAAAAAATCATAAAAAAATATTTCATATTTTCTTTTAAAAAAGACTGAAGAAAATATACAGGGTTGTTCACCACATACGACAAGGAGTATTGTAGCTAAACGATTAGATTTTTACAAATTGTAAGTTTTGGGTTCGTTGAAGGACTATTAGAGCTACAATTTAAAAATATTTTCACAAGATACAGAGTGTCCCAAATAAGTAAAAAATATTATAGTTGTATTTTTTTAAATGGCACGGAGTATTGTAGCTAAACGATTAGATTTTTACAAATTGTAAGTTTTGGGTTCGTTGAAGGACTATTAGAGCTACAATTTAAAAATATTTTCACAAGATACAGAGTGTCCCAAATAAGTAAAAAATATTATAGTTGTATTTTTTAAATGGAACACCCTGTATATTATTCTATTTTTGGATTCTACGATTGAAATAAAGGTAAATTTGATTAAGGTTTATCATACTTAAATTTTACCGTTTTTGAAATATGTTCAATTTTATGAAAATGCAGTAAAAATTATAAGGCTTCATTTCTCCAAGGGTATCAATGTTTTTAATACTAAATATTTACTGAAAATTATTTATTGATCAGATATTGTGTTGCAATAATAAAAAATTTTCTATCTTATACAGAGTGTCCAAAAATTTATATTAAACAATTCCTAGCTTTAACCGACAATAGGTTGTTTAATTTAACTGGAACACCCTATATATTTTACGTGAATCAGATGCACAATGTAATTGTCTATCAAATTGTATTATACCATTTTTTACCCATGTCTTTAAGTTTTCGTAGAAAATGCATTTTCTTATAATTTAGACCTCATTTATCAATATACCCATGGAATATTGACATTTTAGATTATTTTTAAAGATGTAACAAATTTTCAAAAAGTACAGATACTAATATTGTCGATATAGTTCGCTTATTTCATTAAAAAATAAAAAAAAACTGTTTAAATATTTTTTGTTAAAGAGGACCAGTTATTATGATCCCAGTATTCAAACTACATTAATTGACTGTTTACGTTGATTAATACTAATTGCTCCAAATACTAAAAAACTAAATTTTGTGTGTGTATTAGACAGTGTGGGAAAAAGTAACACCTTATAAATTTTATTTCATTTTTTGACGAATGCTTATTTATAAAAACAGGGACGTTCATTTCCATAACTTATTATTATATTGATTTCTGAGCCAAATCCATATTTATTTAGAATACTTTATTAATTAAAATAATTTAAAAGTATGTAATTAACTAATTTTTGGTCGGAAATAATGGTGGTATATTTAACTGGTATAAAATTTAAATATTTTTTTTTGTATACCAATGGGCTTGCAATATTTACCACCTGTATATTTTTTACATATATGTTGCTTTAAAAAAATCTGAAATGTCAATATTCCATGGGTATAGTGATAAATGAGGTCTAAATTATAAGAAAATGAATTTTCTACGAAAACTTGAAGAGATAGGTAAAAAATGGTATAATAAAATTTGATAGACAATTAAATTGTGCATATGATTCACGTAAAATATACAGGGTGTTCCATTTAAATTAAACAAGTTATTGCTAATTAAAGCTAGTAATTATTTAATATAAAATTTTGGACACTCTCTATAAGTTAGTGAAATTTCTATTATTGCAACACAATATCTGATCAATAAATAATCTTCAGTAAATATTTAGTATTAAAAACTTTGATACCCTTGGAGAAATGAAGCCTTAAAATGTTTACTGCAATTTCATAAAATTGAAAATATTTCAAAAACGGTAAGATTTAAGTGTGATAAACCTTAATCAAATTTACCTTTATTTCAATCGTAGAATCCAAAAATAGAATAATATACAAGGTGTTTCATTTAAAAAAATACAACTATAATATTTTTTACTTATTTGGGACACTCTGTATCTTGTAAAAATATTTTTAAATTGTAGCTCTAATAGTCCTTCAACGAATCCAAAACTTACAATTTGTAAAAATCTAATCGTTTAGCTACAATACTCCGTGTCGTATGTGGTGAACAACCCTGTATATTTTTTCATTTATTTATTAATATCTCTGAAACTATCAAAATATATTTAATAATATCTTAGGATTATGTCAAGTGATCAAAAGGGAAGCCAAAAATGCAATAATATACAGACTGTGCCACCAAATATTTTTCTGCAATATGTCAAGCAATCCCTAGTTTCTTTATATAGCTACAGATGCCGGACGCACTATTTCACAGGATCCTCTAAACATTATCCAAAAACTAACAGAATATAATATTACCTGTATATATCCAAGTAAACTTGTCCCAAAGTCTTCTTCCCCAAGAAATGTTCAATAATATTCCCAACTATGGGCCACCCTCTAGGTCCAGGTACCCCACGTCTGTGCCAGTAAGAGCCTTTATACCAAACATAGAAAACTATCAAAAATACAACGGCAAAAACCAACAGATACATCGCGCACTTCTAGCTTGACTTTCAACTACAAACCAACAGCCAGATCAAAACAAATGTGCATTTTATTACACAAATTGAAGGCAATTATAAACAACGATGGAAGATTTACAGAACTAGTGATATAAATAAGTTTTTTAACAAAAAATATATTTTGAAAAGTTTCAAGGGTGTCTCTGGGAGAAAAAAAAAGGGTTATTATACTGAGATGTTTATTTTGCTATGAACTTTCTATACGGCTATTGTTTAAAAAAATATGTAAGTATTTATTGTCCCAGGGCGGCCTTTATTAATTCAAGGCCAAACAACAAACACAGAATGTGTTATTATTATTATTATTCGCAATTTCCGAATAAAGAGATAAGCTAGTCGGGTATTTATAAATAGAACTTGTTCAGTTGCGTACAGGGTGGTCAAAATCACTTGCTACTTACGGCGTATCACACTTATTTGATATACCAAGTATGTTTTTTTTCTGTTGTGAGTAGTAGTGGGAACTATCGAATGAATACTAGTTGCAATTCATTCGAATAATTCGATAGTTAGTAAGAAAACATTCGTTGAAAACTATTCGAATAAAAATTATCGAATAGATCCGTCATCTGCCTTGAAATATTGTATTCTAGTAATTCGGCAGCAAAAACCATTCATTTATAAAATTCATTCATTTATGAAATTCATTTATTCGTTAGGATCGATTATAATAAAATATTAACTGAATTTTAGTTGTCGCCCGGCGACGTAGTGGCAATGCTATGAAAGAAGCCGGCATCTTTGATTTTTTACGGAGTCAGATATAGATAAGGACACATTATTTTTTTTATTGAGGTGCTAGTATTTACACAGAAAATACATTATGAAGGGCGCTGTTGCCATATTTTGGTATTAGTTGATATTAGCAAAGAATATTATTGTTTGGCTTTAGTTAGTTAGGGATAGTATGTCTATATATTCTGCATTTTTTTTATTAATATTCTGTTGTTACACTGCAATAATACTTGTTATTTTGGATGTAGGAAAATTATTTTTTAATGTTTTTAAGCAAAGACTGGTTTAATAAATAATAATAACAGGAATAATTTCTTATACCTATTAACAACAAAATTTAAAATCATTTAATATAAATATTTTTTTTAAGCAGTAGCAAAATATAAACAACAAATTAGATGTCAAAATTAATTATATTAGATCCTATTTAAAAATAATATAGTCTCTAAATTTTTTGTGTGGCAACGTTGGTTTATTAAATAGTAATAATTACAGAACTAATTTGTTATATTAACAACAAATTTTAAAATCATGAAATATAAACATTTATTAATTTTCTAAGCATGCAGTGTAATGGAAGGAAAATATAAATAAAAAATTAGAAATCAAAATTATTTATATTAGGTGCTTTATATTACTATTTAAAAATTATATTTACTTTTACTGGCATTTACTTTAAAAAATAAATGAAATATTTCTTCGCAAAAAACTACATGTAAGAGAATTAGCATAAAGAATTAGCCAAATTAAATTGGCACGTGTAAAACTTTCATTCTAATTTTCTCACCCCATACTTTGAGTTCGATAACCGCATTTACTTAACCACATTACTTAAATATGATTATTAAGTTCAACTAATTCATATTATTAAAACATCTAAAATACAAATATGTATTTTTAAAATTAATTGTAAGTTCATCTCATCTCTCTTAAAAATTGCTACTTCTCAAAATTTCCCATTAAAAAATAGACCATATACCATATAAAATTAAATAATTGAAAGATCGGACTACGGAAAACCACACAAATTTTTTTTCATTTATTTTAACTATTTTAATAAACGCAAAAATAGTACAGTATTTATACAGCGAAGTTATAAAAATTTGGAAGAACTAATAATGCACTGACGCATACAAAAATCAAACGAATACTAAATTTCATTTATCAAAAGCATTCGATAGTCGTGGCTCAACGATAACCATTTAGTCGCACGGCGAGGTTGTCACATATGCTTTAGTATACAAATGAATGAATGATTCTATTCGAATAAAACCATTCGATAGTTGAAATCATTCATTCATTAACCATTCGATAGTCTAATTCATTCGATAGTTCCCATCGCTAGTTGTGAGTATAAGAAGTTCTTAACAAAACATAAAGTTGCATAAAATCTGCGTTGATTTATACACCCAGTATATTTATCACAAATAGTTTAGGCTATTTTAGTTTAATTACTTTTGATGAGGAATATATTATAAAATACCATACGGATCGAAAAAAAAACGGCGTCAAACACGGCTGGGGAATGAAAATCGATGATAATGTTGGTGCGGTCAAGCCCTAGACTTCTTGGCCCGTTCTCGTCTTTATTTTTTAATGGTGCTTACTGCCAGTTGGTGTTATGAATGTTGTAATTTATTTTTATATTGAGTAAAAATGATTTTTAAATCGCGTAGCTTAAAATCCAAAAAAAAATGACAAGTTTTATATTAATTTGTGGTAAAAGACGTCCAGATATTGTCCTCGTGACCTTGAGTGACGAATAGAGTTTTCTAAAAAAAAATCATCAAAGATGTTCAAACTGAACACCTCCTTTTTGAATACACAATAAACATCTTTTGCGAGTTACAATGATTTATTAGGAGAACTGATGTAATAAGTCCAAAAGCTTGCCTAGTACTAGTATCTATCTTGCCTAGTATCAGATATTCTGTGCTACTAGGCAGACTCCGTAGACCAAGGTTGACATCTGAAATGAATGAGATCAATCGATTTAACAGTTATTGTTATTTGCTCTATGTATTTTTGTTAATGTTTTGATTCAAGTGTTTTCTGAATATTTCAATACCTCTTTAGATTAAAAATAGTTTTAAAAAATATAGATATATTTTCCAAAATCGTATTAGATTTTGTTTTAATGCAGAAAGCTAAATCACAATAAAACATATTATTCAATACGCATGAACAATTCTTTGAATTCTGCCAGTAACCTAAGTGAAATCATTTCCTATGTCATAAATCCCTACGTGTTTCACGTTTCCTCGATATTCGAGTATTCTTTAATATGAAATAGGGCTTACGTGACGACTTAGCCCTTACGTAAGCCTCGAGAAACCGTCTGAACCGAACAGGGAACAAGCTGCAACCCTCCACCCTCTTTCCCAGATCTCGTTTACATACATTCTGCTCAAAATCTGTAGCCAAACCTTTCCATACGTCGATAAATGTAACGTTATTCTGATTTATTTAAACTCCCTACTTTTTTCTTCTCTTATAAACGTTTTTTCCTCCTTATACAGGGTGTCCCAGACTGAGCGTGCATTAGAAGTTTCTAGAGAACCACAATAATATCTAGATCGGAGATTTTTGGATCATCATTGTTTTACAACGAAATCTATTGATTAAAAATATTTTCAATATGGCGGCACTTCCGGAAATACCGGAAGTTGGCAGCAACTTTCTTATTTTAAATGGGTGCCCCCATTTTTTATTACATATTTAAATTCTCTGTAAAATTCTATGAATATTGATGTTAAACACTCTATACCTAACATTAGCCGTTTTTGAGAAAAAAAATATTTAAAATTTTTGGACGAAAAAAACTACCTGTCAAAAAAAATTGTATAGCCTAAAAGTCAAATTTAGTGATTACCACAGACACTGTGACATCTAGAGAAGACATGTGGCTATCTATTTCACAAATTAAATTGTTTGAATATCATATAATATCGGCCGTAGCTGTCATGGAATTGAGAGATTAAAAAATTATCATAAATCATTTTTTTCAAATGGAAACCCACTTTTTTTATTTCACTAGTGAAAAGGTTTTTTAATTCGTTACTTTTTAACTATTCCTGTTCCTATACCTAAAATAAAATAGTTTTTAAGTTATTTAAGATTTAATTTGAAAACGAATATTTTTTTCTGATTTTATCTAGCTTCATTTGACATTAAGTGTCAAACGGTCAGGCAATTTATTTCCATCTGTCAGAAAACGAATTTTTTGAATTTCATATATTATTTTGCCATTCTTACTGTTTAGTAGCTCTGTCTCTCATGTACTGATCTACTCCATCTAACCACGTAGTTCTAGGTCTTCCTCTTTTCCTTCTGCTTTGGGGACGATACTCCATTGCCCTTTTTGGCCATCTTTACTCTCCCATTCTTTTCACGTGCCCATACCATAGTAGCTGTCTCAATTTGATGTTGTCGGTGCTGGTATATTATATTCACCTTGTTCTTTGCCTGATCTCCTCATTTCTAATGTGCTCCATCCTTGATATTCGACATGCTCTTCTGAGAAAGTCCATCTCCACTGACTCGACCATCCTTCTTTCTTTTGCTGTAAATTGCCTGCATTCGGCACCGTATGTTAACATTGCCTCTACGATTGCTTTGTAAATCCTTAGCTTTGTTTGGATGGATGTTTTATTTGACTACAGGAGAGGGTTTAAAAGACCGATTACTTTCTTATCTTGTTGTACTCTGCTATGTATATCTTTCTTGGAATTCCCTTCTTCAGATATAATACTTCCTAAATATTTATATTCGCTACACCTTTTAATTTCATGTACCTTCAGTTTGTTTTTCTCCTACTTTCAGGTATTCGGTTTTTGTGAGGTTGATATTGAGTCCCCATCTATCGTATTCTTCGTCAAGTTTCATGAACATATAGTCGGCATCCTCCTCACAACCTGCAACAATAACTTGGTCGTCTGCAAAGAACAAGGTCGATAGATAGTGGTTGTCAATCTCTATTCCTATAGCTCTACTCTTCCTTCTCCAGTTTTTCAATGCCTTCTGGATATATATTTTAAATAAGGTAGGTGATAAACTGCACCCCTGTTTGATCATACTTTTTGGATTTTTGTACATATTCCAGATTGCATTGATATATTTTATGTTTTACGCACATTTGACTCAACCAAGATTTCAAATAATTTCTTCAAAGGCACCATGTCATAGGCTTTCTCTAAATCTATAAACACCAGATGCGTGTCCAAATTTCGAGCTCTCCTTTTTTCAATTATTTGTTGTAACACAAATATGTTGTCTATACAAGAACGCCCAGCGCGGAAACCACCTTGTTCTTCTATTTCTTTAAAGCTCTCTTCTACTCTCTCTTTTAATATCCTGCCATACAACCTTCCCATTAAGCTTGTCAAACTAATGCCTCTGTAGTTGCTACATCTTTTTCTGTCTCCTTTCTTAAAAATAGAGCTGATGTACGCCAGATTCCAGTCTTCAGGAACGTTGTCGTTTTTTAACAAGAATAACTTTTTTATTTTGTACAATTTTTTCCAGTGGCGAAAAACACAGAATTATTTTCAAGAAATTAAAAAGATAAATAGTAAACATGATACTTTAAGTTTACTACAAGTTTCCTCTGGAATACGTGTTCACCTTTATGTTTTCCTCTTCTGCAATAACCTCTGACTCTTGTCACTTTATACCTCCAAACAACACGTGACAGGTGAAACTTGGCACGATTTGCTAGCTTCCTTCCGGAAAAACTTCAGCTGTTTTTCTTTTATACTCCTTTTTCTTTTTGTTTTTCTTTAGTGCGATCACGGACAGGGCGCGCGGCGTCGTGTTGCACCTGGAAAATTGGAAAGCGAAAACAACTTGCAAAAAGTTTTATTAAACGGGCCATTTTGAAATTTCAAATTGCCTGGGCAACACCGGCGCGGCGCTATATACATATACACGTTATTTCAGCAGCTGTTTTGTCGGTGTGAAAACTTCTTAAATTTAAGCAAATTCCGGAATTTTGTTATTATTTGGAGACCGGAATTAATATACAGGGTGTCCCAGAAATAAATGCAAGTATTTTAACTGGGGTATAGTTAGGGTGACCAGATTTATTTGCAGAAAAGTAGGACAACCAGGACAAAAAAGCCTGATTTTTAATAAAAAAACCTGACATTTAACAAATATATTTATATAAAAAAATGTAACAATTTCTACTTAGGTAAAAACTACTTATACTTTTCAGAAGAACCAATTTCTTTTAAAATATTGGGATTGTCCATCAAATAATTATAATATTCCACACAAGACATTTTTAAATTAAATTTTAACACTATGAGGCTTTTTATTGATTCGATAGATAAACGGTTTCTTTCTTTGGTCCACTGCGCTGCGATTAAAGAAAAAATTCGCTCGACGGCAGCATTATGTGCCGGAATAGCAAAGTAAAATTCACAAATTTTAAGCAATTCTGATGATAAATCAATGTGTTTTAATTGCTTAAAATAGTAAGACCACTTTTTATCTAAAGATAATGATAAAAATTCCTCATTTTGAATCTTTGTTGTCAAACTGTCTTTTAATAAAATGATTTCATCAATTAGTTTTGTGTCATTAATTTCTACCCCTTTTTTGGATAAAAATTCAATACAGGGCAAAATATCATTAAATTTAAAGTTTGTATCATTTAAAAGCATCCATTGAAATGAATTAAATTCTGCCAATGGAGCGGCCCATTTTTCTAAATAGTCTATACATTTAGTATAGAATTGCCATACTTGCTCCTTAAAATCATTAACTTCTTTTTGTAATCCCTTTTCCCTTAACACATTTAACTGACTTCTTACTTTTAATGGTATAAATTGCTCGGAGAGCCTTCCTTGTAGTGCTGTGAGGACTGATGCAAGAATGTCCTGCACTTCCAAAATGGAAATATTTTCTTTTTCAATTAACGCAACGTTTACATGGAAAATGTGCATAGTTGAATCTAACAACCACAAATACATTTCTGAAAATTCACTCTCAAAAAATTTTCTTAGCATAGCTGGACAGTCTTGCTGAGATTCAAAGTAGGATTTAAGTGCCGGATAGAGTTTAAGAATCCGTTCAATGGCTGGGAACATGGATAGCCATCTTGTTTTGCTATGATATAAAAGTGGTTGATAGGATATTTCAACAAAGTTGCAAAATTCTTTTAATGCTTCCGTTCTTACCGTGTAGATTGAAAAGTAGTTAAATATTTTGAAGATGATGTAGTCCACATCACACTGCAGTGAATCAGCTCCATGCTGTATACAATTATGAAGAATATGGGCTGGACAACCTATACCAACTATATCTGAATTTAAGTCTTGCTTCATGTTGCTTAAAACATTTTTCTGTCCTCGTCTTGCGAGACCTCCAAAGTTTACATTAGCATTGTCACCGGAAAAAGCAATACACTTGGAAGTAATGTTAAATTTTTTTATGGTTGTTATCAGATATTTTGATATGGCTTCAGCCGTTTCACTTGAAAGGGCAGATAATTCCAATACCTGTGTCTGAATTCCGTTGAACCATTGAAAGTACTGGACAACAACAGGAAACATTTTAGTAGCTCCATGATTACTTGCATCTGTACCGATACCATAGAAATTTACAGAATTTAGACTTGATATTAATGTTTCTTGTGCGTGAGGTGAGAGTACATGATTAACAATTGCTTCGGTTTTTGTTCTTCCGCATCCAAATTTAGCAGTTATTTCTGAATCCGGAATTATCTAAAAAAACACAAAGAATATGTTAAAACTTAAAATTTGCTATTAATAACTGCATAGGTACCTTTTTTAATAACGGTATTTTTTTTCCTAGTAACTTTTGGCTGAGCTGTTTTTACTAAATTGAATAAATAAATATTTAAATACATTTTAGTACAGCCAAGTACATAATATTTTTATTATCAGATCACAAAAATGTCTAAGCTTATTTTTTTTTATTTATTTCTGACTTTTAACTCGAAGGTGAAGAAGTGTTTTTAAAACACGCTGTATATATTTTTTACTGCAAAATTGGGTACCTACCTTTTTAAGAAGAGATGAAGTGCAGTCCAACGATCTATAAGACTGATGGTGCGAAACGGTGTGATATGCTAATGTACCTTCTGCAGCTTTAAGTTTAAAATCAACTGAACTATTCTTTTGGACGAAAAAGTTATCCAGTTTCATGCAAGAGGAAGAGGCTTGAAGACTTTTCTTGTGTTTTTCCGTAGAAATATGTTTTTCCAAATCTGCTGCTCCTTTGCTGCCAACAGAAACAAACGAATCACAAGGCACACATTTGGCTTCTTCTTCGTTTCGGCCTTTTACAAAAAGTTTGTATTTTGTCGCCAGTTTTTCGGTAAATTTACACTTTCTTTTAGACATGATGTTTACTTGCTGCTGCTGAACTTAAACTGAACTATGAATACTCAACTGTGAAACTGTGAAGTGAAACCAGGTGAAACGTCGGTTTTTATATACTCGGGGGAAACCCGCAGTCAAAAGTCAAAACAAAACAATTAAAAGCGATTTCGATTTTACGCACGCTCTCTGGTTGTGTCGATCGGTATGGGTTTGGTTGTGTCGGGTCGGTATCGATATACGCGACGACCGACGCGGCGCGGCGTTGCCAGCTTGAGAAAGTCGGAACCAGGAATAATGATAATGTGCGTTTTTAGTTATTTAGAATTTTCGATTGATAAAAAGCCGGACACGACAAAAAGCCGGCCTGACGTTTTCATTTAAGCGAAAAAGCCGGACATGTCCGGCTTTATCCTGACGTCTGGTCACCCTAGTATAGTTAAACCCCAGAAATACGCCTATGAGGATTTTTTCGCGAAAGAAATTAAAAATTCGGATTTTTTTTTAGTTTTTAGTTAAAAAACATAAATTCTTGATAATATGGCAACATAGGTTAGTAGATTAAATCTACAAGAAAGAAAACTAAGAAAAGATTCAGTGGTTCCCAATGCCAAGCCCCTGATCTGACAATTCTCCCAGTACTAATTTCGTTAGTGACCATTCTAATCATTGTCGCATTGGCATATCTACCAATGACAATGTGCAGTGGTGTTAGATCTAGAATGACCTCCATTGCTGCTGTTGGACAGGTTCTCATGGCTCCTGTGATGCAAACGCATGCTAGTCTCTGGACTTTGCATAGGTTTAGCCTTGCCGTCCGTTGCTCTAGTTTTGTGTACCAGGCAACTGCTCCATAAGCAATCATGAGTCTTACTAGCATGGTATACATCCAGCGCAAAATGTTAGGGGAGCAGCCCCATCTATTTCCGGCCAGTCTTCTGCATATCATGAGAGCCTTTATGGCTTTGCTGGTAGTGTTCTTAATATGCCTGTTCCACAGGAGTTTACTGTCCAGGGTTATTCTCAGGTATTTAACTTCCTGTGTTGGCAGTATTCCCTTTCCATCTAGTTGGATTCTTTTCAAGTTTTTCAGACTTCGCTTTCTGGTGAATGGCACTATCGCGGTTTTGTCTGAGTTGATACTCAGCCCGACAGTTCTACACCATCTCTCAGTGATACGGAGTCCTCTTTGGATAATATCACACAAGGTGCCTTCATGTTTCCCCCGAGCGATCATGACTATGTCATCTGCATACCCAATGCAGTGTATTCCCGCTAGAGTTAATTCGTCTAGTAGTTCATCCACCACCAAGCTCCACAGCAAAGGGGAGGTTACTCCACCTTGTGGAGTTCCTTGCGTTGTTTTAACAGCTACAGTTTTGGTGCCCATCTGAGCCTCTGCTGTTCGTGTTGACAGCATTTCCCAAAACCAGCGAATAATAGTTCTGTTCACCCCTCTTGTTTCCAGAGATCGCCTGACCAAGCCAAAAATGTAATTAATATACAGAGTGTTCCATTTAATAAAAAATTATCCTATATTATAGAAGTTAAACTATTTTCCTGAAATACATCCTCGTACATACTTTAGGTTTGCTCTTAAAAAAAATTCCCAAGTTTTTTTATTCTAGAAGCTACACATGCCTGACGCACTATTGCCGGACTCTGTATACATTTTATCAAGCGAAAATTCTCCATTTTTTTTTAAAAACGCGTTTTAACGCATTTTTGACAAATCCAGACCACCGAAAAATTGGAAAAAATTTAAATGAATAGCTTTAATCCTAAAATTGAAAGTCAGCAGTATAATGGCGTTCGATGGTTTAGCGCGCTGTTGAAAAATTTAAAAATTATCCAGGTTTATCACCGCGGTACGTAGCCGCACGGCATTCCCTAATAACGCCATTTCTAACAACAGCATAGCAGAAAAGAGTTAATAAAAATAAAATCGTTTTTCAATTTAAAAATGCTGTAGAACTCAATATTGTGCATCGGTGGAAAAAAATAGTGATTTATATGACGAAGAATGTAAAATACAATTTTGGGGTTCTAAATTTTTCGTAAATACAGGATGGTCCGAACTGTATCCCGGAAACTTTGGCAGCATATTCTGCGGATAAAAATTAGTAAAAAAGTTCGTATAAATGTATGTCCTAAAATGCTTAGTTTCGGAGATACAGGGTGTAGAAGTTTCATTTTTATTTCGATTTTTTCCAAATAATTTCTGAACTAACGTCAATATTTGGATGAAAATTGGTATCTGGGAGTTTTTTGACAAGATAAATTTGAATTTGATGTCAATATGACTCCTACTTGTAGGTGGCGCCACCTACATATTTTTAACTAGTTTGAAGAGTAATAACTTTTCGTGCGTACTTGTATAAAACGACTAAGTAAAAAAATATACATTTGCGACGGTTTTTTCGTAAAAACGATCTCTTGGTAAAAATCGCTATGAGTAATGGTTCTCTAGATATTTGGAATCGAAATTATCAATACCTGTCATCATTGACATAAATTAAACATGTTGACTAAATAGTTATTAAACAGAAAAAATAAATTTGAAATGTTTTTGTGCTAACAGTTCAAGAGAAACTGTTTTATCATAATTTTTTCGAAGAAAAATTTATGATTAATTTAAAAAATAAAAATTTATTTATCATCACATCAAAATCAAATTCTCCCAGACGCCAATTTTCATCCAAATATTGACGTTGCTTCAGAAATTATTTGGAAAATATCGAAATAAAAATGAAACTTTTACACCCTGTATCTCCAAAATTAAGCATTTTAGGATATAATTTATGTAAGAACGGCTTAATTCTGTGATTCTTTCTTTTTTATTTTTTTTTATATTTAATTACCAAACGTAGGCGCTAATTACAATTTACAATACAACTAATAGAATTGTCTTAACGAATAACCAAGTTGACCGTCTTTGTGGAGGCATTTAGGTCTTTACCTGTAATTAAAGAAAAAGTATCTGAGCAAACGAATTCAGCCAAATAAATAAATTTAATTTGAGTTTTATTTTATTCATTTTACTACCTATTAATTAATTAATCATTTAACCAATTAACCAATGAGCATCAATACCTTAATTATTAATTATCAATCATTACCCAATGAGCATAACTACCTTAATTATTAATCATTGAGCATTACTACTTTAATTATTACAACTATTAGTGGCCATAATATACTGATGGACAGTCTGGTGTTGGCATTATCAACAATGCCCATTATTCCGAACGACAGGAGTAATAATAATACCATACTGAAAGACAGTATGCTGGCATAAACGACAATGCCAGTTATTCCGAACGACAGGAATAATATTGATCACACTGAACGACAGCGTGTTGGCATGAACGACAATGCCAGTTATTCCGAACGACAGTAATAACAAAATCATACTGAACGACAATGCCAATTATTCCGAACGACATGAATAATATTAATCATACTGAGCGACAGTGTTTTGGCATGAACGACAATGCCAATTATACCGAACGACGGGAATAATAATATCATACTGAACGACAGTATGTTGGCATGAACGACAATGCCAATTATTCCGAACGACAGGAATAACAATATCATACTGAACGACAGTATGTTGGCATGAACGACAATGCCAATTATTCCGAACGACATGAATAATATTAATCATACTGAACGACAGTGTTTTGGCATGAACGACAATGCCAATTATACCGAACGACGGGAATAATAATATCATACTGAACGACAGTATCTTTAGGCACGAACGACAGTGTCTATTATCTGAACGACAGATAAAAGGCCTAGGTATAAAACCCATATTGTAATAAGTAATTAATTGCTCAGTAAAGAATAAACGAAATATATACCAATAAATGATAATTAAATGAAATGTAAATAAAGGTAAATTAATTTGCCCGTGAGCACAGACTCACCGAATTTATAAAACAAGAAGCACACTCACAATAACTGTAAGACGATTTACCGTTAAGTATCGAATTCTGAACGAAAGACAAAACACCCGTATTCGGCAACGCATTATGTTTATAAGTTAATTTCTTGTATCAGCCACAACTGCTGTTTTCCAGATTATTGTGTCCCGGCCATCGACAACAAGGAAACTTTACCCCGAATGCCATTTGGCATTTATTAAACGGAAATTCTTTTATTTCCTCCGCTTCTGGAAAATCCAGGAACTAATTCTTTCCGACGAAGTTTTCCCAACTATTTCCATCTTGGTCTCCATTTGAACGAAGCTATAAAGTTGAGTGAAGGCGTCTGGAGCGTATTCTATCTCATTTTAATGGTGTTTAATTGAATTTGAATGAGGGAGATGCAAAATTTAAGTGATAGAAGTGGTAGAATGAGTTGATAGTTGATAATTTGTGCGTTAATGTCGATAAACTCGATCAATAGTAATTGATCTTGGTTTAAATCACAATATTAAACAGTCATACAGGATGATAGTATGAAAAATATATAATATAATGTTATAAAAAAGACAGAAAATAAATAACAAAATACAAAACATATTAGACGCTGCACCACTACGAAAACAAGCAGACTTTAGAAGTGGCTTCAGCACAATAATTGACCACATATACAGGGTGGTCCGAATTGTATTCCGGAAACTTCGCCAGCATATTCTGCAGATAAAAATAAGTAAAAAAGTTTCTATAAATGTATATCCCAAAATGCTTACTTTCGGAGATACTGGGTGTTGAAGTTTCATTTTTATTTTGATTTTTTCCAAATAATTTCTGAAGTAGGTAATAAACTAAATTTGTAGCTCTATAAAATTACTATTGAATGTCTAGGGCCTGCAAGAGAGTTCTCTATGGAGAGTCTAGAGAGTAGGCTCTATTTATGGTTAGCATAACCAAAACGATATAAGCTTATGTTAATTCAGTAAGAAATAAACCGTTTTTTTTCTGTCTATTAATTCAGCTAAATCACTTTCAGCTATGAATTTCAAAACGTTTACGATCGCTCCGGAGTTGTTCAAGTTTATAAGAGCCTCGAAACTGTTCGGCTGGGTGGAAACGTAAATTATTTTAGAGGTGCGGATATTAAGCCAAGTTTCTGGCCGTTCGCTCAGGCCGACTTGTAAACAATTTACCGGAGCGATAAACTGGAACACATAACTCCGGGAACCGCAGTCGAAAGGAAAAAGTAGTACAAAACAAAGTACCTACAACTACAACTTTAGTTTTGAACATCAGTTTAATAAATCAGCTGGCGTATTTTACGAATCTATTTGCTCTGAGTGTTTTATCAGAGTATTATCTCACTAATATCTAGACATAAGTGAACAGCAAATGGGATTTCGCGAGGGACTGGGGACGAGAGAAGCCCTGTTTGCGCTGTCGGTGCTTTTGCAGAAGTGCAGAGATCAACGAAAGGAGGTACACCTATGCTTCATAGACTACACGAAGGCATTCGACTCCGTCAACCACAGGGAATTGCTGAGCATCCTTGAAAGAAGAGGCCTGTATACCCAAGACCTGAAAATTATCCAAAAGCTATACGAACAACAAGTAGCGACAGTAAAATTACAGGACACTGAAACAACAGCAATACCTATCAAGCGTGGAGTTAGGCAAGGATGCGTATTGAGCCCTATGCGCTTGAGGGATCAGAAGACGGCATAAAAGTGAATGGCAGGCTGATTAACTGATGATACCGTCGTTATTGCAGACACCACTGAGGGCCTGCAAAGACTTCTTGATAGACTGTCCTCGGTGGGCGACTCAATGGGTCTCAGGATAAATACAAACAAAACAAAAGTCATGGTGATAAATAGAGATGCAAGACAGGCAACGGAGGTAGTCGTAGGTGGGACACCAATAGCAAGAGTCTCAAAGTTTAGATATTTGGGCAGTTGGATTAGTGAAGACCTAAACCCAGACATTGAGATCAGAGCTCGAATTGAGATGGCTAGATCAAACTTCCTAAAACTGCAGAACCTACTGTGCGATAAACGTCTCATCATCCCTATAAAAGACAACTTCGTCAAGTGCTACGTACTTTCCACACTTCTCTACGGGCTTGAGTCGTGGACACTCAAAGTAAACGCAATGAATAAGTTGCGTTTACTACAATGAACGAGTTCTAAACCAAATGAACAAGGACCGAGAACTCCTCGACATAATAAAAAAGAGGAAAGCAGCCTATTTGGGCCATATCATGAGACATAGCAAGTATGAATTCCTTCAGCTCATCATCGAGGGTAAAATTGAGGGAAAGCGCGGACCCGGACGAGGCAATGCTCCTGGCTGAAGAACATCAGAGATTGGACAGGCCTGGACTCACATACTTTGCTGAGAAGAGCGAAAAATAGAGAAGAATTTGCCATGGTTGTTGCCGATCTTCACTGAATGGAGAAGGCACTTTAAGAAGAAGATTATCTCACACCTAACAGAGAGGTGAAATGAAGTAGGAGTTTTTTTTTTGCTAAATGACAAAAAAGGAGAACACCTACATACAGGGTGAGTGTTAAATAAATGCAAATATTTTCAGGACTGGTAAAAGTAAATAATCTATACTAATATATAAAATCCTTAAGTGACTGACATACTGATTAATCACGATCCTGCTCAAACCACTCAACGTAAGATGCTCAATTTTGGTACACAGGTTGATTCTAGGGTGTAGAGGTTCGATACGAAGGGATTTTTCGAAATTCCAGTTCCAAGAGGGTGAAACCACCCCTCAATATTTCAATATTTTTTATTTAAAAAACGGTCAAGTTTCCAAAAAAACGCTTAAACACGTATATTTTATTTTGTTTTTTTACATATTTTAAGAATTTTTAAAAATGTAATACAGGGTGTTTCGAAAAATCTGGTAATTGATTAATCACGATCCTGCTTAAAGCGCTTGACGTAGAAAGCTGATTTTTGGAAAACAAATTGACTTTAGGGTGTAGAGGTTCGATAAGAAGGGATTTTTCGAAACTCGAATTCTAAGGGGGTGAAACTATCCTTCAAATATTAAAATATTTCTTATTTAAAAACCGGGAAAAGCTCTTAAACACGTATATTTTATTTTGTTGTTTTACATATCTTCAGATTTTTATAAATTTATACAGGGTGTTTCATAAAATATAACTATTGAGTAATCACGATTCTGGTTAAACTGCTTGACGTTTAAAGCTGATTTTTGGCAAACGGATTGACTGTGGTGTGTAGAGGTTCGATAAGGAGGGGTTTCTCAAATCTCAAACTCCAAGAGGGTGAAAACTCCCCTCAAATATTACAATATTTGTTATTTAAAAAACGGTTAGTCTTTCGGGGGAAAACGCTTGGCCACGCATAATTTATTTTGTTTTTTTACATATTTTGAAATTTTTTAAAAAACCATACAGGGTGTTCCAAAAAGTTGGGTAATTTCTTAACCACGATTCTGCTTAAACTGCTTGACGTAAAAAGCTTATTTTTGGCAAACGGATTTTTTGAAAGTCAAATTCCAACGAGATGAATGTACCCCTCAAATATTACCAAGTTATATAATGATATCGCCATATTGTTTTTTCTCATGCTGACATAAATGTGAGAAAATTTTATCCAGTTTGTATGTTAATGGAAATGTTTGCTTTGCTTTATCATCACCATTAGAAATGATTAATTCGACGCGAACGAAGTCGCTGGTACACGCTAGTATAAATATATTTTCTCTTTACCGTTTTTCAAATAAGTCCAAAATAACGGAGTTAGTTTATTTTAAAAATTTCGAAAATTTTTTTTCTTATATTTTGAGAACCACCCGATCTTTTCTGGGTTTTCTTTTTTGTAAATTTAATCTACTACCTTTGTTCTACTCCTAAAAATATTTGTACTTATTGTCTGTCAGGGCTGGTAGAACTGAACAAAAGAAACATATTTTCTCTTGACCTTTTTTTAAAATAAGTCCAAGATAACCCATTTATTTTAGTTTGAAAATTTCCAAAAAAACTATTTTTTGCTTAAATTTTGAGAATCGCTGGATGATTTTTTGTGTTTTCTTTCTTGTAAATTTAATGTACTACACCTATGTTGCCAAGAAATCAAATTTTCAAAGTTTTTTTTCGATGAAAACATCCTTAGTTTATATACTACCTCTAAAAATATTTGCACTTATTTAAGAGTCACCCTGTAGATGTAATTAATCTGACTTTCCTTTTATTTACCCCTGAAGAATAAATATGGCTCAGTCGGTAGGATTTTAAGAATATCAAATATTCCTTAAACTAGAGGTCAATCTTACAAAATAATAAGAAAAAGTTAATGATAACATCAGGTTAAAAGAACAATAAAAATACCAAATTTACAAAAAATATATATAAAAAGTAAACTTTGAAATCTTTAAATAGAATTTTTTAGCTCGACTTGAACTGCGTCTCTTCCAAGATAATGAAAAAATCTTTCTCCGTCTTTTCCGTCTAATTTAAAGTAAACTTTTATTAAAATAAACTACCGAGAATAAAGCAGGCTAAACTACCCCGAGTGGCTTAAGGCAAATTTACGTTAAATATCTATCCTAACCGAGTTTGAGGAAGATTGAAGAAAAAAGGAAAAATGTGTAAAGAAGCAAAGCAAAAAAAAGTTTTTGCAGCAGACCAATTAGTCGGCTGCTTGACGCTGGAGATTATTTTCTTAAATCTAAATTTATAATTATCGACAAAAGGGAACAGGCTAGGAAAGAAATGTTTATTTTTTTAGAAATTTAATGGAAGGTTCTAGTAAAAGCTCTTTAACACAAAAATGTTTAAATATATTTTTCTAGATTTATTTTTTTTCTAACTTTTATCAAAATGTTTTGTATGCCAGAAATATCAATATTAAAACAAATATATATTTAATTTACCGAGTGTTTTACAAAAGTGGCTCACTCCTATAATTTTGTTATTTTTTTAGATAAAAAACGAGATTGATGTGTTAGTATATGACATAAATCCCATAGATCATCTATATTTACATGGATAAATCAACGCCATAAGTTTAGCATTAAAAAATATGTCTCCAACATCACGACATGCCATTTTCAAACGTTCTTTATTGCACTTATGAAACGTTTAATAGGTTTGCCTTTAACGATGACCTTCTTTGCGCATGCGCATTAAAAGTTGCACGTTTTTCGAAAATAATCACAATTTTATACGGTTTAGAAAGTACAAATTATACATTGTTATGGAAACCAACTTTTCATTGTCATCATATGGAAGATTATTTTCTTTTATCTATGATCATATTGTCATAATCATATGTCATAATATTACTTCCATTGTGTAACGATGCTTGTTTTTTGCGTTTTATATTTTAAAAATTGTATTAATTACTCTTTTATCGACCGCTTTTTAACAGCCAAGTATGCAAGTGTGTTCATTGAGAAGTTAATTTTAAGTTTGTGCAATTATATTTCTATTTTTTTTGTTGGACCTTCTAAATACTCGTAAAAATGACTAGAAAGTGTTTGGTGTGTGGAAGATCTAATATAGAGATCCCCGAATTATCTTTTCATATGCAAGTAAAGTATTCAGTTGTTCTTTTATTTATATTAAACCATATGCATACTTTCTGGTTAGATTTCCTAAGAATATTGATATTTGTACTGAGTGACTAAATGTATTTTTTATATAATTTAATTTTTGTGACACTAAACGTTCAATTTATTGTTCAAATATATGCATTTTACAAATTAAATTTTTAAAATTAATGTTAAAATTTGACGCGTGGACAATAGGTCCTCGACAAGGATAGATAAAGTAGAAGCACAAAGTGTGCAACAATAAAAGAAGATAAATGGAAGTCGTTGATATGTTTGCGACGGTTTCCATAGTGATTTACTTATCCACGTAAGTATATAATGATCTAGGCATAAATCAGGATTGATTGACGTATTCAATTATTTTCGGTTATTTCCTGTTTTACAACTTTTTTTTGTTGTTTCTAGTCTCTCGTTCCTTTTTTATTTCTCGAGGCACGAGAATTATCGACCAGAATTTCTCGTGCTTGTCTGACCAACTAGCACCTACGGATAATAAATATCCAAATCTGTGTCAGGTTAATATAAATGGCATCCTTGCCAATTTAATCTTGTCATCTATGTGGCCAACACATTTATTTAAAAAAAAACTGGTGTAAGACGAAGCCTTGATCCGCCATTAATCATTTTGCATGCTTCGCACTGCCGTTAGAGACAATAACACCTTGAATATTAAGGCTCTCGCTCTTTCGAGCACATAAAAGCTGTTAAGTATGCAACATTATATCGGGTGTTGCATCGTCGGACGGGTGGAGCCGTCTCAGATACTGGCTTTTCTTAAAGCCCTGAGACTGTATGATGAGTTATAACTCGTTATAACTCAAGAAAGGGGAACACACAATAGATCTATAAGGTCGCGGTGATTAACTCCCCTCCTAAACATTCTACATTCTACATCGTCGGACGGGACATAGGAAATCCCATGTAAATTTTAATGGGGTCAATTATTGGCTTCCCTAATTATTTTAGAGAATAATTCTATTTAGGTTTATTGAAGAGCACTAAAACCCACATTCAAAAGAATAACTTTAGATGTTTTTGATTAGCTCGTTTTCTTATGGCCCTGTATTTACTTATAAGCACCAGTCAAGATAAAAGATAACTGTCAAATGAAGTTGTCATTTCAGACATTTAATTTTTTTTAGTGCTTTATTATTATTGAAAATTCATTCCTACATCGGAAATCTTAAAGATGTATTTATAAATACAAATTAATATGAATTAAAGTAAAATAAAGTAATCAATTTCAAGGTTAATTATAGTATTATTACAATATTCAATAACTTATTAATTTAGGTACTATTAAATTGTTAGAACTTTAGGATTTAAAAAGATGTTCAAATATTCCTCCATCGACTGCTAGACAATAACCCAGGCGATCATAAAATTCTCTTCTTACATTCGCTAGTTGGTAAACTGAAATTCTATTGCATTCGGCAGAAATAGCATTTTTTAACTCGTCTATATTTGGGTATTTTTTATCCTTGTATATCCTGTTTTTTAAATGGCCCCAGAGAAAGAAATCATTTGGCGAAATATCAGGAGACCTTGCTGGCCAATTTACTGTATGATTTAGGCTAATAACGTTTCCGTTAAAACTATTGTCTAAATATTCCCGAACAGCCAGGGTACTATGTGCCGGGCAGTTATCCATTTAGTACCAAACTTCCTGATTTTCCCTAGCGGCATTATGTAAAGCAGGTAAAATATGATTTTCGAGTAGTTCCAAATAATATTCTGCATTTAAATTTCGCGTAAGAAATAATGGCCCGATAATATTGTGTTCGAATATCTCTGCCCAAACATTTACTTTCTGTGGATATTGCGTCGTTGTTTCGACAAACCTGTGTTGGTTTTCTTTGTTCCGATATCGATAATTTTGAACATTGGGTTCATTATTTAAGGTAAACGTGCATTCGTCAGTGAAACATATGTTTTTTAAAAATTCCCTATCCGTGTTTGCTCTCTCCATCATATCAAAACAACACGCCTGCCGCCGTATTTCGTCCCCATCTCGTAGCTATTGCTGCTTTTCATATTTGAAGGAATAGTATTTATTTCGTTTCAAAATTCGAAACGCTGTAGTGTGATCTATTCCTATTTCATCCTCAAGTTTCCTTGTGCTGATCTTTCCATCGTTCTCTTCCACGCACGTAATAAAACTTCCAAGTCGGTATCATTTCTTGCATCTTCTCTTTGTTCCTGCCTTCTGCCTTTCTGCAGTTATTTATTAGGGTACATTTGGTGTCAAATCTCTCAAAAAAGTCTCAAGTCTCAAAAAAAAACGTTCGGCATTTAACGTTTTATGTAAAACCGGCTAGGTATTTTTACACAAATAAAGAAGGAAATTAAAGATAAAGAATTAATACTATATCCGTATTGAAGCACATTTTTAGACAACTTCTTTATTTTTAAGATTTTGATGGTCAAACATCAACAAAATATTCCTTATCTTTGGACTAAATTTTCTCGAAAATAAAGACACAATTTAAAATTCCGTCACAATACGGAAATAGATTGAAGTTTTGTTATTACAGTGATATATAATTTATACGGTTTTGTAACAAATTGCTCGCTATTTTATGGCAAACGCTGAAGCTCTGCAAACCTTAATCAAGCCTTCTACACACTTAATCAACATTCTACACACCCGTCTTTGTGTTCTTTAATCATTGTAGGCTTTAGTATTTAAAGAGGTATTGAACTAAGGGCTTCAGTCACATTTTCAAGCCCTTACTTACAACGCCATCGATATATCAATGAGATCTTTGACGTCGTTTTTCCACGTGGATTATTCGGCACGTGTTAGACGACAGAAGGGGTGAAGAAGAGTGAAGAGGGTGAAGAGGGTGAAAGCACGTCTATTAATCTTGAAAAACTCGAACCCTTGTCTCTGATGGTGCGCAAGAAACATCACTGAAATTTAAATGTTTCACTTGGATCGCTCTATTTTTGTTTTTGCATTAGTAAGCAAATATTTTTTTTCAAAGTAGCACTAGTTGAACCTGTTACTCTATTAATATTTTTCCATGTTATATACAGGGTGGTCCGGACTGTATTCTGGAAACTTTGGCAGCATATTCTGCAGATAGAAATAAGTAAACAAGTTCGTATAAATGTATGTCCTAAAATGCTTAGTTTCGGAGATAGAGGGAGTTAAAGTTTCATTTTTTTTTAATTTTTATTTTTTCCAAATAATTTCTGAAGTAACGTCAATATTTGGACTAAAATTGGTGTCTGGGAGTTGTTTGACAGGGGAAATTTGATTTTGATGTTAATATGCCTCCTACTTATGAAGGGCGCCACCTACTTATTTTTTAACTGTTTTGAAGAGTAATAACTTTTCGTCCGTACCTGTATAACACTACTGAGTAAAAAAAACACATTTACGACATTTTTTTTTACGTAAAAAAGGTCTCTAAGGTGCCCGGTGGCGTAGAGGTACAGGCTCTCGTCTACCAATCTCAAGGTAGTGTGTTCGAATCCCACACTCGGCATTTCATCAGCCGACTATTTTTATTAAAATAAAAATAGTTTCGTAAAAACAGTACCTAGGTCGACTCAGCCTTAAATGAGTACTTGGGATTCACAATCCTGAGGTAATATTAGGCGGTTGAAGCGTAGTGCTAGTCACATTACCTTCCTTGTATACCGAACGGCTCTAGTATGGCAAGCTGTACCTTGCTACTCCGAAGGCGTTAAACGCTATATACTGGAGCTATCATTATTATAAGGTCTCTTGGTTGGGTCATCGAGTTAAAATATAATTTTGTCTACTATTAACAACAAGAGTTTATAATTTAACGGCTGAAACTCTAATTTCTCTTTTCTTTTGTTGCAGTACCTCCATCTGGCGTTCAAATTACTGATAGCCTGGGTCCAGTGAAGAAAGACATCACAGAAGCCTATGCAGAAGGAGCTAGTCTTACCCTCAATTGTATAGCATCCGGAGGAAAGCCACTAGCTAAGGTAAAAAGCAATATCAATTAAGAGTCAAAACGAAAGTAAAAAAAAATCAAGAAATACTTTTATTTGTAAACTAAGAAGCTTTTACAAAATTCATTTTTTAATTTGATATGGCTATTTATAGATATTGATGAGATAGGTAGGTTAGTTACTAACTTAATATTAATCTTATTAATAAAGGGGGCCCATCGAAAACGTTCCGCAAGGCATAACGGCCAGGATATTTCTTTTTTTCAAAAAGTCCAAAAACACGTCAATTTTGTTTGTGTAGGGGACAACTCCAAAAATGATTGCAAAATCTTCAACCCTCTAAACGGGGGTATCATCCCCCAACTTTTTTCAAATGGGAAGGGGGGTCAAATGGTGTCGCAATGAAAAGAGCTTTCTATCCTCTATATTTCCCCGCTTCGTTTTTGAAAATCGGTCAAGTCATTGGGAAAATATGAAGGATTGAAATTTGAAAAGTTTATTTAAACATTTATCAGAGTAAATGATAAGGATAAATTCCTTCGACCAATTTGCTGTTTTTCTTTATTATTTCTAAACTGACCCACTTTTTTTTTATTTTTTTTTCTTCTTTATTATTTCTAAACTGACCCACTAGAGAAGCTGAATAAATTAGGCAAAGAAAACAAAGTCCTCCTACACTGGGTGCCGGCTCACCAAGGGATAGAAGGCAATGAAAAAGCAAATAATCTAGCTAGGAAAGGAGCGAACACTCCACTAACTGGACCAGAACCGTTCTGCTTTCCAAGTGGTAACCAACTCAAGGCGGAACTCAAGAACTTGGAAGATTCCATCCGCAACCTGGAATGGAAATCTTGCAATGGTCTAAGACACTCGAAGAAGTTTCTGAGGGCTTATGATATAGATAAAAATCACAGATCTTCCTGGGTCTGAGTAAGAACAATCTTCGGATTGTCACGGGGTTTTTAACAGGACACTGTCTCCTCAATGAACACCTCAGTTGATTGAAACTAAGAACGAAAGAAACGGCGAATGCAGATTCTGTGGGGAAGATGGTGAAACACCAGTACACCTCATCACTGAGTGCGCCGAGACGACAACCATTCGTGCCATGAATTTTGGTACGACTGATATTGGAGATGGAGAACTACCCTCTATAAAACCGTCCCAGATACTGGCTTTTGTCAAAGCCCTGGGACTGTATGATGAGTTATGATTCAAGAAAGGGGGACACAATGGATATGTAAGGTCGAAGTGATTAACCCCCCTCCCACTCATTCTAAATTCTAAAAAAATTCTAAAACTGACCCACAATAGAATTTCCAAAAATACCAGCCCGCGACGATCAAAATCGTCTTCGTTGAGTTCTTGTACCAACTGAATTTTGTACGGGTGGAACTTGTGTTTTTTTAATACCTTTTGGATACTTGTACGATTCACGCCGGTCTCATTGGCTAATTTTCTTGTACTCAGCGTACTATCCATGGTAACTTGGCCCATTACGAATACCTCCATAGCTTCATTTACTACAAGATTTTCCCTCTGCCTCTTTTTATTCATAACGGAACCAGTTTCGCGAAATTTTTCTACTAACTCGCGAACAATTTTGCCATAAAGGTGTTTGTCAGGATGGCGTTCATTGAATATCTACGCAACCCGATTGCCACATTCATTATTTTTAAAATAAAGTTCGATTATTTCCACTTTTTCTGCAAGTGAGTACACCATAATTGTTAAAAAGTTTAGCGATATTGAGAACAACTTCAACGCACAAGTCACAGAACAGCTATCTAGCAACTACCGCACCTGATCGTTCAGCCTTGTGCGACAAGTGAAAAAATGAGTAAACATCTAGAAATAATAAGAAAAAACAGCAAAATTTTCCTTGCTAACTATATACCTCTAATTGGGATTTTATTTTTAATCAATTGAAAGTAGCTTTACAAATATCCTTTTTTTCGGTTATTGTTTTTTCTTGTTTTTCTTAAAGTGTTTATTTGTAACTATCTAATGTACCTAACATGTATTTATTATCAATCAAAAATGCCTAGTACAGCGACCGATCAAAGCGCGACGCTACGTACTTACCAGTTCCAGTTACTACTGTTCGCGACCGACAAAAACTCGACCCTACGAGCGCTCCAGCAGTCGCGCTACCACTGCAGCGAAATACGTCGCAGTATTAGGTCGTTACCAGTTACATCTCTTCGCGACAGACGAAGCGGTCGAGATTGCGCGACGCTACGTACTTACCAGTTCCAATTACTACTGTTCGCGACCCTAGGAACGCGACGGCTGGAGCGAAACACGGCGCTATTCAAATTATAAATAATTTATAGTTTTGTCGTTATATTGTTATAATCGTCATTCTTCAATAACAGGTTTCTGATTCGTTGTGGAGCGCGACACGACGTTACAAAAAAATACCGTTCCAAAATCGCGTTACTCAAATACCGACACATCACTACTAGGCAATGATAGGTCATTGACCTTTGAATAAGAAGACTAAGGAAGGAGCATATCAAAAATCTTAGGTACACCGCGATGGGCCTCAAATATGGCCGACTTAAATTCCGGTTTATCAGTGTCGTTCTAATTTCATTTAAAAAATGTAAAACTATGATGTAGGGTAGACGTGGGGTAGACTCAATAATTTGTTGTTTTATTTTACGTTGTGAATAAATGTTGGTAATTATTAAAATTGTTATAAAAATATATAATTCTAATAATAATAGATAAGTTATAAGTATTTATTAACACAAACATCCCATACGCTACTGAAGCAGGTAAGTCAAATTAACGTATCTAAATTCTTTGAATCTAATCTTTGACAAGTAATAAATAAAAGCTAAAATGCAAGAAAAATATATAATTTAGTTAATTTAAGTGAATTTCATGAATGATCGGTTTACTACACGTATGTATATTATATAGTCACTTACTAGCGAAAAGTTGTTCCATTATTTCACTCAATTTTTGCCGAGATCTACCGCACGCTACACAACCAACTATTTTAGAGTCTTTTTCGATAAATCGCGATAGTGTCACTGTTAATTTAAGTTCTGCCACAATTTCCATCTAGATTTACTACCTTTATACAATTATCAGTAGTAGAATAAATAATAAATAACATAAAATCAGCTCCGTAAAGACTGACAAATCCACAAAATTTCAAATCAAATTCAAGTGTGTCAAATGAATCGTCAAACAGAACTGTCAAGGATCCCCACCCTAGAGAGCTTTTATGGTGCCTTTTCCGCCCACCATGCATGAATACATGGATAGCATTATGCTCCTTCCTTAGTCTTCTTATTCAAAGTCATTGACAAAGAAAGGTATTGATATAGGAGGGTACAGCCTCCAAATGGCTAGACTTCTTGAAAAGAATAAGACTGTATAATGCAACCTAAGAATCAGATGAAGACCACAATAGATCTGAGAAGGTCGCAGTGAAGAAGACAGATAGCTACCTTAAAAATCTAAAATTGGCGGAAAAAAATAATGCAATTCTGCATTAAAACGTCAGAAAACCTATAATATTTCCTGGAAAACAAGAAAATAACAAGTTAAACCTCTAAATACGAGGTATTAAACATTTCAAACGTTTCTGCACTGTTCTGTATCACGTGAAAACTTTCCTTTCACCCGAAAACTTGCTCGTTTTAGCCGTTCCCCGACACGCGAATAATCCCACAGACTATAATTAAACTAAACTTTCAACAATGGCACAAAAATATTTCCAGCCGGCCCATAAATATTAATAACAAATGACAGCGGGCGAGATATAATTTACTGGCGAGGTAGGGAAAATATGGATCCTTTTTTGCGCTCTATCGTGGAGGGACAAAAAAACTTTTTTGTGCTTTCGGAGAAAGAAATTTGTTAAAACGGTCCGCTCCGGGTTTAATCCTTCTGTATTTTAATGGGAATATAATTCACTGTATTATTTATAGTTTAATCTTGAAGGGCCATTAAAAAAGAGTCGTTAATATTATTTCGTTTCAATAGTTAAGTGTGTTGTTTAAATATTAAGGAGTTGTTGAAAATTCATATTCAACTTAACTTTTTTAGGATAATATTATTTATATTTCTATCAAAACGAATAAGGTACTCGAGATATACAAACTAGGTGCAACAAGAAGAAATAATAAACTAAATAAAAGCTTATTAAGATTTTTCCGCTAGGAAAAGTATAATAAATATAATATTTTTATACTTTTTTCCATAGCAACTGTTAAAATTGCTTTATATCTATCAAAAGATTAAATGTACTTTAACAGCGAGGATAGGTTAAAACTTTATTTCTTCTCGCACGTTTTTCAATTGCTTCCATTTTTTATTTTATTGATTTTATGGACTACAATTTCCTGTCTCACAATGTACCGTTTGTGTCCAGGAAGGGATCGTAGTTTCATAGTTGTCGATTTTCGAAAGAAATCAGTACATTTATTTTATTTCGTATATTTTTCATTTTATTGATTTTATGGAAAGCACTGTTCATTAAAATGTTGTATCCTATGTTATAGGGCTTGTTTCTCTCTACAATTTCCTGTCTCAAAATGTACCGTTTGTGTCCGGGAAGGATTCATATTTTCATAGTTGTCGATTTTCGAAAGAAATCAGTACGTTTATTTTATTTCGTATATTTTTCATTTTATTGATTTTATGGAAAGCACTGTTCATTAAAATGTTGTATCCTATGTTATAGGGCTTGTTTCTCTCTACAATTTCCTGTCTCACAATGTACCGTTAGTGTCAGGGAAGGGATCACAGTTTCATAGTTGTCGATTTTCGAAAGAAATCAGTTTATTTTATTTCGTATATTTTTCATTTTATTGATTTTATGGAAAGCACTGTTTATTAAAATGTTGTATCCTATATTATATGGCTTGTTTCTCTCTACAACTTCCTGTCTCACAATGTACCGTTTGTGTCCAGGAAGGGATCACAGTTTCATAGTTGTCGATTTTCGAAAGAAATCAGTTTATTTTATTTCGTATATTTTTCATTTTATTGATTTTATGGAAAGCACTGTT